AACTTCGAAGTTGGTGAGCCAGGCAGGCTGGATGAGCATAGTACGTAACCAGTTGATCTCCCGTTCTCTGTGCGTGGGTGGTCTTGGCACCTGGTTAACTTCTTGGACATACTCTTCCTGTGGACCCACGAACATAACCGTCGAAACGACATCAGGCAGTCGTGTATCGGGTTGATCACGAGCATAGGCGGACATGAAGGCACGACGACACTCTTCGGCAAAATTACGAAGACAACTGGGTGCATTGGTGCGATTCCAGTGTCGTTGTGCTCGGTTTAAGACGCTATCGATCCGAGCTTGAGTCTGTTCCGTAGCATGGATTAGTGGTTGAAGACATGTCTGCATAGCGAAATTGGTATACCATCGGAACAAAATAGTCCATCCGCACATGGTAACTACTTCATGAGTGGTATCGATTGTAACCAGCATTCTGTTGGTGGGAATCTGCAGAATTCGAGAAACCTCCAGGATAACCAAGGTATGATGTTCCTGGGGCCACTGAATAAGAACCACGTGAACCGGTTCAGTGCGGCGATCAACCTCAACTGCACACCAGTGTGCTTCTACCAGAAATAGGAGGATATTTAGATAGCCATTATTGCATTGGAGCTGATCTTCTGCTGCCATCAAATGCTGGAGATCTCGGCTTGGGCTCCACTGAATAAGTGGCCCGATGGTAATATCGGACCTCCATGTCTGGAGTAGACGCAGGAACCATAGTGCTTCATCAGAGGCCAACCATCCATTGTCTTGTGTGGCTGCGGCACATCGCTCTGCAAAAGGTGGGTTTGGCGCCATGTGTATGATTTCACATCGTCCCCACGCAGGATGGCCCCCGACATAGATGGCCTGGCCCCATCCTTGAAATGTTGTGGCATGCGAGAGGTCGTTTACGGGTACAGCCCCACTATATGAAGTTGTCTGTAGTAGATCCTGTGTTGGAGTTCGGAGAGAGTCTTGTATCGTCGTGGCCTGATCAAGTACAGCCCCTGAATCTGTAACACTGTGGAGTGGTCGTTGAGTCACCTTTCTAATATCGAAGAGCAAGGATCTGTCATTGAATTGTCGTAAATCTGTCACATCGATGACGATCTCACGCGTGTGAATAGCTGTTGGAAAATCCACCGTTGGCTGCAAGGTATAAAAGTTCGAAGCATTGGTGGAATCCTGGCAAAGAAGTCCTTGAGGTGGCACAGGAAGTACAACATCATTGTTCTGATGTCGAGGTACATAGGGTAATGCATAAACACCCCTTAAGGGTGTATGATCATGAGCTTGATGGCCACCATCGGTCATAGAGGTATACATCTGTCTGTCAGTAAGATCTGCAAAGCCAGGGCGGGACAAGCGAGTGCCATAGAATGTCTCACGAGTTCCAATGGAGCTCCGTTGATGATGTAGTGGTGGTAAAGTCCCTGAACATTGTATCGCCTCTGAGGATAATTTGAAGTCGTTCGGGTCCTGGAACCACAGCTGTAGAGGATCGAGGTCTCTAAACAAAGAGTGGTGTCCATCTGAGATTCTGCGGTTGCCACTGGGTACAGCCCCACTTGATATGGTAGACTGTCGTGGTCGATGACATTCTTCATGGAAAAACTGGCTGGAGAAACAAAAAACATTGTCATCGAAACGTGCGTCCAGCTGAAAATATGTCTCCACTGTAAGATGAGCTGGGATCGAAACATAGGGCTCCAATGGAGCAGAGCGTAGTGACATTAACATCTGGATGAGATCATGGACTGTAGGCTGAGCAAAATTGTTTGAAAAAGTCACACCATCTGTAACAACTTTCTCTTCGCAGGGGAGTCGGCCATCTGCATTGTGGTAGATACAGGGTACAGCCCCACTGCATGTGGTAATACGCTTTGGAGGTGGAAGAGTCTGCTTCGGAATCAAGATGTCTGCCTGTAGTGTTGAAAAAGTTGGTATATAATCGCTTGTGAGGAAAAATCCATAGTGCCACGGTTGTTAATGGGTACAGCCCCACTTGATATGGTAAGATGCGGTAGAGCTTGCACATGACTGGTGACACCAATTGCATTTGCAACAGATTCCTTCCAATCTGATTGACAGCTGATATACAGTTCCAAATGGTCAAGTAGGATCGATTCTGAACTGTGAGGCCACACATGGGCAGAAAAAATAGGAGTAATACCTCCCTGTAGGTCTTGTCGAGTGTCATTCGCAAAGATAGATCTGTTCTGGCAAATTTGAGTGTAGCTCTCCTTGAAGTAGGACGAGCTACCCATGGACTTTGCTCCGTTACATACGAATCGTGCTCCCGTGCTGGCCCAGTCAAAAATCAAACGGGTAGACTGCTCCGCGTGTATGGCATTGCTGACAGGACTTTTGTGGACCTGTATCTCCTCCTCAGTGAAGGGAATAGGGAATTCCCTCTCAAACGGTGTGGTAGACCTGTTGTAATGGGAGGCACTTGCAAAGATGTCGGAATCATTTCGACTGATGATCGAAAGGTCAGCTTGTTGGTGTGTAGGACATCTGCAGGGATTGTCAGTCACTTCAGATGAAGTTTGTACCATACCCAAAACATCACTATTCTGATGTTGAAGAGCAAGGAGTTGCTGACGCTCTTCCCTTAGGGGTTCAGTTGGTGACTCAAATTCGAGGTCCGATGTCATTTGTCCTGACAGAAAAGACTGAAAGCCTGTAAGACCATAAGAGAAAATCACGGAAGGTCTTGGAACACGATATCCAAAATATTGCCGAGGCCAATCAATGCTCTCGTATGTCGCTGGAGTCACACTGTCAAAATTCTCTGCGTTCTGATTGTGTGAGATTGCAAAATCAAGTACAGCCCCACTATTGATGTTTTGATATAGTGGAACGGGGGCGATTCGACCTGGGTCATTCTTATGGCAAAAACCTGTATGCCAAGTCACAAGTACGGATCTTGATTGGCCTAACAAATCTGCCATAGTTGGTCTGATGTACTCTGGTGTTTGAATCTCAAAAGCATTCGTTACATCACGGTTGGTATTAGTGCGTTGCGATACAATCTCGTGTTGACCAACACAAGTTGGATGCAATTGCTGGAACAGTGGCAAACAAGGAGGAATGATGACATCTCGTACAGTTGTCAAACGAACTGTACAACTTGCTTGAAATGCTGTCCAGCGATGAAAAGCTGATGCGAAGATAGACATAGTAGGAACGTCAACACGGGTGGCCTGATGAATTAAGTCTTGACGGTCGGCATGCTGTGGCGGGCCAAAATGACCCTCTCGAATTAGAGAGACTCTTGTGTTCATTAGTGGCGCATCTGGTGGCGCATGGAATGAAGTCTCAGACAAAATTGCAATATCAGGGTCAGTCGTTTGGGTATACTCATGTTGTCTTCCTTGCTTGTCCCCAAACTGACCAGGGAAGGACTCAAACCTTGCACAGAAAGGCGGGTGTAGACCTGACACATCTTCCCAACAGGGCTTCGTGTTTATGGGGTATGATGTGAAGCACGACTTCAAACCGTCTGAACACGACCCCGTTGGCATGGACGTGAAAATTGCCTTGAACCATGTTGAGACACGGTGCGAAAGGGTGTATTGACACCCTGGTTGCATGGAGTGATCTGACGACAAAAGACCAGGATCGGCCTGTTCAGCACGCATCTCTGAGGATATAAAATGCGCGCTCCATGGTTCAAAATACTGGGCTTCGTTGACATCCATGAGAGTACTACCATTCATGTCATGCGGCGCATATGCATAGGCCCATGGCTCCATCATTAGAAATGGATCTTCCTGTGGGAAAACCTGTGCTCCCCCAACGTCATGGTGTGACAGAAGTGTCACATCAGGGTTGAACGTGCGCGTTGGAGATAAAGTCGGAGAGTTCACTGAGGTCTGACCGTTTTGCGTAGACGAGATGTCTTCGTCTGAGACTGTTGAAAAACTGTCAGCATCGCCAGAATGGGCCTGGTGCTTGCAGGTCGTCTGTGTGCTAGCCGATTGTATGTTGACAAATCTCCAGCGCCAGGGTTCCCACAATGCAGTGTCTTCTTGGATAAGCCCGAAACCTGTTACCGACTCTGAGCGGGCATAATCTTGTGCCCATGGCTCGAAGGTCTCCGGAATCGGTCGATAAAACGGATCAGTGCAGCCAGGAGGTATTTTTGGTTGATCGTGCATCAAAAACGGATCCGGCAGCACCTGAGCGTCGGCAGGTCGAACGATACCCATCTGAAGACATCCTCCAATCTTCCAGGTATACATCCGCGAAGACTCAAAAGTGTTCATGCAGGCAAGAACTGAATGAGACACCTTCAAAATGCACTTGGTACCATCTGTCTTTACGCACTCAACCACTGCAAAGTCACGATGTCGATGTAAGACCAGGTGTGGTAAGAGGTCTTCTTTGGAATCGGCACGCCACCGAGTCTCCGCGTGAAACAGGTGGCGGATGATACCATTGCACGCCCCACCGTGGGCTCTCATGGCCCAATCCGTACCCCCACTAGCAAGTGGGGGCAACAGGCGCGCCTCGCGAAGGCTTGGGCCTAGACGCCTCTGGCATCGCTACTAGGAGCAAGGACGCTACTGGGTGCTCCTGGCATCGCTACTAGGAGCAAGGACGCTACTAGGTGCTCCTGGCATCGCTACTAGGAGCAAGGACTAGGTGCTCCTGGCATCGCCACTAGGAGCAAGGACGCTACTAGGTGCTCCTGGCATCGCTACTAGGAGCAAGGACGCTACTAGGTGCTGATGGCATCGCGACTAGGAGCAAGGACGCTACTAGGTGCTCCTGGGATCGCTACTAGGTGCAAGGACGCTAGCTCCTGGCATCGCTGCTAGGAGCAAGGACGCTACTAGGGGCTCCCGGCATCGCTGCTAGGAGCAAGGACGCTACTAGGGGCTCCTGGCATCG